AGATCATCCTGGTCGATACGCTGGACGATTGGACATCAGACAGCTATATTTCAGGGCGATGTTCAGGACGATATTCCATGATTTGTTCTGATCGTCCAGGACAATATATTATCATCCTAGATGATATGAACAAACTTCTTCTGATCGTCTCAAATCGTCCCGGCTGATTGGGCTTATTTTGCACTGATCGTACAGGACGATATTAGTATTTTCCTGGATGATAAAGTCGGCAACTTCTATTAATGAGCTCATTTTGAGATCTTCTATTTAAGCTATGACATTACACTTGGTAAGTGTCTTTGACAGCCATTATAGCTTCACTCTTTTGGGGGAAACTTGAAGAGAGAGCTTGAAAAGGAGTGAGAAAAGGGTGGAGTTTGAGAGAGGGAGAAGATCCTATGAGGGGGGACTCAAGGGAGTGTGGAGGGGGTTCCACACGGTTGCTCCGGCAAGCTCGCACCTGAATACCATCGGATTCAAGGCTTGTCTCGAGGGAAGTTCACCAAAGAAGAATATCTCTTTGGTGTCAAAGGACCCGGCGACTCCGCCGCACCAGGGAAGGTGGAAGTGATTTTGTAAGGGCTTCTCCACCTAGCTAAAAGGGCTAAAGGAGAGACACTTAGTTTAGTGCAATACTTGGAGGGTGCCTCCAAGGAGTGGACGTAGGTCAAGGTTTGACCGAACCACTATAAATCTGGTGTGTTCTCTCTAGTCAGCCATTTGAGTAAGATTAAATGAATGGAACAATTAAAAATGATATTTTTATTATTAAAATTTGGACTAGCATCATGACACCATGTCGTTCCTTCTAGGAGCCCATATTACCACCATGCTAAATATTTTTGCAAAATTTTGAAGAGCTTAGTGTGGAAGCTTCGCCAACACCAGCACCACGAGTTGAAGTTTTGGAATTTTCTAAACATGCCAATAGACTTCTGAGACCCATTTTAGAATTCAAGCATAATAGTTTAAATGTACATTTTTAATAGATACTTTAAATATGGTTGAGTTAGACTAGTTTGGATACACTAAATTTTCAAGTGTTTCATAGCATATTAGAAAATATGTTCTTATGACACACAAAACTTAGCATGTTAGATATTCAAAAATTCAGACCCTTATAACTCCTTGTGCATTTAGCATATCAAAACTTTCTCCAATCTCACTTTTCCTTAGGATCACATATTTCAAGCAGATAAGTACATATAATATTATAATTCAGTGAAGGCATTATAAAAAAATTAATTTATAGAAATTTATAGTGAGCTATATTGATAGCCTACAATTTTAATAACTAGGCGGAAATCTAGTATTTTGAATATTTATCATATTATAAGGGATTGTTAAGAGTGTCATTTTAAGACATTTATTATTCTACAATCATACTTTTGTGCTCATAATTATTCTCTAATTTAATAAAAACATCACATTTTTTAATTTTCCCCATAAAAATTTTTGGACTAATATCTAAATGTCCAAAACTATTATATGTACAAAATAAAAATAAGTTATATAGTAGAAGTTTTGTGGGTACAAAGTTGTCCTCATTTCTAACCTATGCACTTATAAATTAAGTAAGGAAAATCATAAATTTTTCATATTTTTTAAAGCTGAGATAAGTAAAATATAACATACTTTGATTTGAACAATTTTCTAAATTAAATCAAAAGAAGAAAATGGATCAGAGGCATGCAAAATGAACTTTATCCCTCTATAAATATAATCTCTCTTTATATGATGAAGGAGGTTTTAAATTTTATAAAATGATAAGTAAATGTATTTTGATATTTTAATGAAAATTTGACCTAGCGCCACAGCGCTCGACTTTGCAATGCAACAATGCTCTCTATCTAAAAAGTAGGATGCTGCAACGCCTGGCCATGGTTCCATAATGTTGGTTAAATTTCCTATAATTGATTAGAGAGCACAATGCCTTAGGACCACGGTGCTCTTATGGGATATATTATTTTTTCACATGTATGCATATAGTATACCCCTTTAAGAATAGATTTAGATACTCATATGCATAATGATCACTCACAAAAATCTGCAAAAGATATGAATGCAGAGAATTTAGTTTGTTACCCTTACCGTTCTATGTCAAAATAGGTACAACCTCATGTTGCTACATTAGGTATTACATCACCCCAATAGAGAAATCTTAGTACCTTTTAAAAGGTTGGAGATGAGTTTTAGTGCCCAACCTAGGAGATTAAAAAGGCCATATCAAGAGTTATCTAATCACCTCACAACTCATAGGCCACATTAACATGGCCACAAATGTCTGCCTTCAAAGTTTAATCTAGTTAAGCTCCATCAACCTGATGACTTCAACTCATGACCCATCAACTTCTAGGAAATCATCACCTTCTACAAGGAGAACTTTTTGGCTTCTGATATCAAGATGACTTGTTGTAATATGCTTGATATCGTGTTTAACTTTCTCAAGGAGAACTCGATCTCATCGACTTGCCAACTCCAATGACATATGCATCCATGTCACCAAGTTTATCCCTTCACCCTTCTATGTGCATGGATAATTCACCTAATAACATGAACTTATTAGTATATTAGATGGAAACTTTAGGGATATCAACTTTGTTTCCTTAGCCACATTAGTTTTCTTGATTTAGTAACACTTGGACATCCTCTAAGTGCTTCAAACCTCACCATGCTCACAAGCCATTCTAACTGATCAACAAGATATGGACTTATTAGCTCTTAATCTAATAGGCCTTTCACTAAAGTCAACATCATTCATGGGATTTGGGTTAGATTAGCCACCCACCACCTTTTTGTATGTAACCAACTTTATGGTTACAACCCCCACTTAGATCTACAAGTGTTATGATTTAGAATATTATATATTACTTTCTTAGAACTAACTAGAAATTTATAACATTTTTATTATTACATTTTGTTTGCGTTTTTCTTAATGATATTATGCTTAGGCTCCTTATGAATATTTTAAGAGCTAAACTCTATCAAAACAAATTCATTAATTTAACCATTAATCATTTTCCTAATAAAAACTATAAAATGAACATTGTCCAACTATACTATGTGTTATTATTTAACCACATACCTTAAATCATATACTTAGGACTTAGTTGATCCAGCATGATCACCTCAAACATATTGATAGACATAAGTCAAGTTAACATGCAAAATTAGAATCAGTGGCAGAGCTAGAAAAGTTTCGTAGAGAGGCCTTTTTAAAATATTTCTCCGTAATCTTTGTGCACAAAGTCAAACTACCTAAAACATGTAGAACTCATTTGAATGTTGATAAAATTGTACATACACAAGATTGTGGAAATAGAGCATTATAATGTTGATAAAATTGTATTCATGTGTCCTTTTGAATCTATCTAACGAGTCAAGCAATTATAGAAGATTAAAACCTTCAAGGATGGACACAGTCACACAAGTATTTGAAGCATATTGATATGTTACCACTCCAGAAAATAGAAAACACAAGGAAACACAACTACATAGTAACACAAGTATCTTCAAGATGGGAAACAACCAAACAGGAAAAGATGAAAGATCATAGATTCACAACTCAAATATGACCAACATTTGTTTTTAAACCTCCACAGAAAACGTATGGAAAAAAAGAAGTAAAAAACTGATAAAAAAAACTGAAAACAGCAAAAGAAATCCAAATCAATGCAATGCTGGATCTTACCTTCTAGGATTCAATCCTTCAAAGACGGAATGCTCATGGCGACGATCCTCGTATGTGAAGTCACGAACCGTAAGCAAAATCCGAGAAATCCAAAAGCTCTCACAGTCTCACTGCTGTCTAGACGTAGTGGTGGAACTGTGGAAGCCGAAGGAAGAAGCTACGATACCGTCGAGACGAGAGATTCTACGCCGCACGAGAGTTTCTGGGCGACTATTAGCTAGGGCGAGGAATGTTGAACCGGGCAAAACCCTGAACCGTAAGTGATAATATAAGTTTTTTTTTTTAAATTTCGCAGAGGGGGCTAATGCCCCCGCGGGACCCCGCCTCCCTTCTTTTTTGATTAGAATCACTATATTCTTTGCATTGCATCGTAGAATTTCATGTGCAACTTGTTCACTATTAATCAGCTTGTGTTGTACTATATTGAGATTTAACATCATTGCTTTAAATTTACTTGTGAGTTAAAATGCATTTTCACATCTAATGGGTGTGAGTTCTATTTTGTTAGCTTTCATGAAACCTTTCCTTGCGATTAGGCATTCTCAGAGGATTCCATCTAGTATTAATCATTTTCGTACTGAGAATCATCGTTGAAAGTCAACCGGCATCACGAATGAAATAACTATCAAATTTAAATCGTGAAAAAAATATTTTTAAATATTAAAAATACTTATAATTTACTTTTAATTCTCTTAGAAAAAATAAATTATTTTAAAAGCAAAAAAAAAAGTCAAACAAGGCGAATCTTGCTCGTTAAATCACATGTTCTTCTATTATAAATTATATTATATCAATATATTTAATTTTGAATTAGCTCGAATCAATTTTTCATTAACAAATAAAAAACTTAAAAATAATTCAAAACAGCCTCGCTCAACACACTTTTTTCACACTTCTCTCAACTTTTTTATTGAACTAAAATAATTAAGAATATTTTTCTATTTCACTATTTATTGGAGAGTATATTATATTATTAGCATATTTAGGCTTCATTTGAGTCAATTTTTTTCTTATTTTGTGAAGCTGCTACAAAGAAAGTATTTTTTTAAAGTTATTATAGAAAATAATTTTTTTAGTAAACAAAATTTTTCTGAAAGCAATAAAAAAATATTGACAAAAAAATTATGATTAATATCCGAAAAAATAAAAGAAAAGAAAACAATCTCATAATAAATCTTAAAGCAGCTTTGGTGAATTACCAGTCAAAGCCATCATAAATGTAGAATACCCAATTTTATAGGCAGTTTAGAGGCAGACATAACAAAATTATCAAATACTGTAACTGCTGAGAGAACATGAGAGAAATTTATTTAACAGAGTACAAAGTTGACGAGGCACCTGCACCTTTATTAATTAGCCTTACACGCATTAAAACCAAGCTCTGGAGAGAAGATCTCTCATAGTAAATACAAAAAGATCCAATGATTCAAGCACACTGAAAAATATCATTCTTGGAACACAAATCATGAATGGAAATCATAATAGGGATCAAAATAAATGACAGGAATGCTGGTTAATAGTAGTTACAGCAATACATACACTACTAGAATTGATGAAGTTGGATGTTGAAGGAACAGAATCATCTGGATTCATCATGGCTGTTGTCAGCTTCAGTTCCCAGCTTTTCTCTCTCGATCTGTGGAATAAATGGTTCAGTTAGTAAGATTGAATATATATATTGAGCTGGGATATTCTCATTCAATTGTAATCAGAATGAACTTTAATAAATTGACAAAAGACATTTCTATTAGATTCATATAATATAAAATTACGATTTGCAGACAAATTCATAGAAAAATTGATATGAGCTGAAGGTTTTAAGATCATTGTGATTAAAACTAGATAAGGATCACCAGATGATGAATTGAATAGCAGCGAAAAAAAGTTAGAAGATGTAGGCATTGATAAAGCGAATTTTTTAAAAAGAATATAGAGCTGTTTTTAAGCAGCAGGACAATGGAAAATGCAAGAAGATTCAGTCATATCAGGACATATAACTTCATATATTAATATTCAGTTTGTATGGCTTTGAACCCATATTTAACTCACTATATTCTATAATGTACCCAACTCTTTCAAGGTTCCAGGATTCACAAAGAACTACTTCTTGAGCATCTTTTAAATGGAGTTTTCCGAGGAGCACCATCAAGGACTAATTTTGTGACAATCTAATTCAAGATCAAAGAGTTATTTTATGGATAGCAGTTACAGTTTGGCTTACATATTATCTGATATAAGCTTCGTAGATAATATAAGTTTTCTTTGGGATAGCTTTGATACTGTTTTATGAAACAGAATTTTAGTACAGAATTAAAGCAACAAGAAAGCTGTCTCAAACGAAATCATAATCAATGTCACTACAACACGAGACTACAGCCATAGCTCAGATAGTTTAAAATATAAGCTGGGCTATTTTAATCAAACAAACGACAGATTGCAATATGTAGGTGTTTTAATAACTTTTTTGGTGTGCTAAAGTTATAATAAAAGAAGCTGAAAATCATGGCAGACTGGTTCTAAATTTTGTAAGAATGGGAAAAATTTAGCTGCACCATGCTCACATATCATTTAAACTATAGTATGACAGAGTTAAACAGAAAATTGATAGATCATGACACTCAGCTAATTAGCATTTACATATTTCAGATAAGGAATCCAAAAATGAAGTATCTTTATCAACAAAACAGCATTGATAGGTAGCATGAAGTTAATTATTTTTTAGAGGGATTTACATATATATCATTAAAATCTTATATATTTACATATTTAATACTAAAAATTTAATATTTATTTATATCGTTTTTATGTCTAAATCAAAACAACATATATATTTAAAAATGTGTTTTACTTAAAATAAATTAATATTAATATTTTTATGGATTAAATATTTAAGTGTTATAGAATTAAATATAAAAATTTAAGCATTAGATATATAAATAAATAAATAATTTTTTGCTTGTATTTAAACCTCCTTATTTTTTATTCTTGAGAATCAAGGAATCAATTTTTTCTGCGAATTTTGGAACAAAGATTATTGACTTTAGTTGATATATTCCACATGGCAATGCCTTTCTTTACTCAAAATATTTTAAAACGATTCTACTTTAGCAACCTGTCTCCAACCTTTTGCAGTGCATATAATCTCCTGCCCCAAACTTTTGAGGTGTTAAACGTAGCTGCTAATTAAAGTACCTACAACCAGGCCCCATCAAGAATTCATAGCAAGAAAAAGCCTAAATTAAAAAAAAATAAAAATAAAGTTCTGAATGGCAGAAAATGTATGTGTTCATAGAAAGATTTAAAACCAGCAAATAATCATCTTTGGTATGGTTAATGACCATCAGAACAAGAGAAAGTAGGCGAGCACTAATTCAATAAGATTTAAGATACCAAAAAAGTATTAGAGGATAAAATGGCTATGATGCATAGGGGAAGCCATAGAGTTGCTCTTAGAGTACCTATCATTGATTTGACTTGGGCATGCTTATAACTGTTAAATGTGTCGTTCATCAAATCTTAGCTATTTACTTAAAAAGAAGGTTACCTGCCTATTTTGTCTTTTTAGATGTATCTATTATTCCTTATGTAGCCTTTCCTATCGGTATTCTTCTTGGTTCTTTGGTTCTTTCTTATTTAGCTAAAAGGTGGGCTTTTGGTGGAGGATCGATCATCTAAGAGTGATAGAACGAGAGTAGGAAAGGCGCTTTGGGTAGAAAGGGAAAGACAATACCGAGAAGAGAAGAGGACGATTTACTGCAGGAAAGGAGAAGGTCCAGCCTTTCTTCTTCTTGGGTTTGCGAGTTTGAGCCATATGAAAGAGAGTGAGGAAAGAGCTTAAAGAGTCTTTCTTCCTATTGTAGAGAGAGAGAGAGAGAGAGATTTGTTGTCCGAATTAAGGTTCTTGGTGAGAACCAGGGTTGCACTTAGGTTTCTCTTTATCTTTATCTTCTTTCATTCTTTGTCCGATTCGTGTGCTTGGGCCGAAATCAAGATACTAGGTGGCAAGAGGGTGACAACAGTGGATCTGTGATAAAAAGCAGTAAAATGTCTTGTTATTCTTGTAATCAGCTGGGCATTGCATCCATAAAAACTAAATCCTAATTTCTTCTTATGGATGTAGGCAACATCACACCGAACCACATAAATTATGTTGTCTTTAATTATTTTATTAATTACTGCTCTCTCTCTCTCTCTAATTGTTTACTATTTCTTACAGAATTTATGTTTCTTAAATTCTTCCATTTACTATTTCTATTTTTATAAAGAGAAATAACTATGACAATTGTTGAGAAGAAAAATATGTTAGCAATTGATTTTATTCTGTAGGAAATGAGTATAGTTTTGAGATCAAGAAATATCAATTATATTTTCTTCAGTCAAGATTGTTATATTGCATTGTGGTTCTTGCCAAATATTTTTAGTCAACTTATATATATAAAATTGAGGTAAATCTGTTGAATAGATTATAGTCGTCTATGTTGGTTAGTTTTTTTCTTAGTCAAGATTGTTATATTGCATAGTGTAGTTCTATCCAAATCTTCTTATTTAACTTGCATATAAAAATTTGAGATAACTCTGTTGAATAGATTATTGTCTATATTTGTTAAATTTTTCAAATCAATTCGGCTTATTGTGTGTTCAGGATCATTATAAATTGGTATAATAGCCAAGAGGGCTCATCAAGAGAATAAAACATTAGAAAGAATAAAACTTGAGAATTTATCGAAAAATAGTATACTAAGAAGTGAGTTGCAAATGGACATTCAAAAGCAAAGATGATATTCTTAACATTGCCAAGCTAGATTTCACGCAAGTTAATGGCAAAAGAATTCACTCAAAAATAAGAAATACATTTAAATGGGATTTTTTTCTCCTATTGTTAAGCACTCTTCGATTAGAGTAATTTTGAGTTTAAGAGTATGGCATGATCTAAAATTGGAATAGAAAGATAAAGAAAAGATTTTCTATATGATTCCAAAGGAAGTTATTGATATGTCAAGAAGAGGGATATGTAAAATCTAATTAGGAAAATAAAGTTTATCTTCTTAAAAAAATTTGCTTATGTTATTTTCATGATAATAATATAAGAGATTTCCTTCTTTAAAGAATGAGAATTTGTTTAGAAAGAATAATTAAGATGTGTGCTCTAAATGATATTTTTTAAAAATTAGTGCTATTTATTTGCTTCCCTATGTAGATGATGGGGATATAGCAAGTGACAACAAGATAGAGATAGCAAACTAAAGTGTTTTACTAAAAAAACCAAGTTCAAGATGAAGGATTTAGATTAGATTAAATGAATGCTTATGAGAGATATCACAAAAGATAATAAGAAAGATTTGCTACACTTAGTGTAAGTATGTTATGAAAATTCTAAAGAAGTTTAAAATGAATATTTTCAAACCTCTTTCATCTTTTTTTATGATTTAGACTTTTGTTTGTATGGACGTCATAAATTGAGAAAGATCAAAAGTATATGAATACAATATTGTAGATTGGTGCTACATATAATCTCATATACTCTACGATTTGTAATAGACCTTATGTATCACAGACAACAAGTGTTAGCTAATGTTGGTTTGACTTCTAGAAAGGGAAACTTGAGTAGAGAACAATTTATAGAGTTTGGAGACTCAGATTATGTTGGGTATTTGGATAATGGAAATTGTTGACTAGTTATATATGTTTTCCTTATATATAGGAACACAATGAAATGGAAAGCAAATATACAATCCAATTTTGCTTTATCAATATAGAATATATAACTGTAATTAAGACGAAAATAAAATATGTGGTTAGAGAGGATTGTCATAAGAGCTTGAAAAATGAGAATATGAAAATTGTAATCTAGTGTGATGATAAGAGAGTCATTCAACTAATAAAGAATTAAGTATTTTATAAAAAGAATATAGTACATTGACATAGATTATCATTTCCATTATATGGACTAATTTTGCAAATCAATAGAAGGCTTATTATGTTGTTAAAGACCATTATTATAGTCATTTCATGTTTAATCTAAATAAATTTATCAGGATTTGTGCCAATCATCAATTTACCTCAAAACTAAATTTGGATCTATTTGGCATCTCATTAGAAGAATCCTATTAATAATTCTCCTAAGAATAAGTGGGAGGTCTATTATTCCGATCACCATATACTTCTTGGAGGGTAGAAAATGCCCTCTTCTACATGTGATAGATTGATTAATCCGTCTAGCATAACTCAAGTGGATTGGCCATCTAATATCATGTAAACTAGTTATCTAGCAAGACACAATAATCACAAATTCTCATATCAATCTGTAGGGTTTGATAAGCTTTTCATGCACAATCACTCCTGAATAGTCTTAACATACTACTTATGTACCTCACAAGGTAAGGACTTGCTCAATTTTTGATTGATCGCCTTTTCTTTTTTAATTAGACAACACTCCATCTTAATTGGTCTAATAAAATCACATCAAGAATAGATCTTTGCCTTTTTGACACAACATTGGTTGATTTTACCAGCTTGAATGTAATAATTTAAAAAGTATATATAAAAAGCAATTTTGAAAGGTAAAGATTAGAAATGTTATGTTTTGAACCTATTTGTATGTGTTTGTAAGTGTTTGAAAGTATTTTTGTGTATAAA